GAATAGAATAGAATAGAATAGAATAGAATAGAATAGAATAGAATAGAATAGAATTCAGGTGTCACAGTAGCATCAGTAGGCTACATAGGTTTACACACTAGTTTACAAACTATAGACAATGCACAAAAAACTTAATTACCACTAACTAGCAATGGTGCAGCTACTAATAAAAATATAATATAAAGGATTGTGCAAGAATAAAAAAGATATGTTTTGTTTTAGAGACTATAGTTACCTATCAGAATTTGAAGGAAATTGAAAATTGAAGCATTTTAAATTGGTGATTTTTTAAAAGTTGTTAAGAACAACCCTATTTTAGCAACTTTTCTCATTAGTTTGTCAGATTTTGGTGAAAAATGCACTTTTATTTGTTGTTTCACATGAAGTTGTTGTTTCTCAAATGAGAAGTTGAATAATGTGAGTTTATATGGCCAGTGGTGATCTTTAGGAATCAGGGCATGCATTAGCCAATATACAACACAGATTTATATATAATTTCTTTTTAAACAGAAATAACAATATTTGTTTACATCCAACATACTTTACAACCTCTATAGAGAAACTTGCACACCTACTGATCATTCTCACTTAAAGAAATGATGGGTTCAATGAGCTGGTAGCAGCTTCTGATGCTTATTTCCCTGCTTGAGAAAGCATAGTCAGATATGGCCAATGGGCAATTAGACAACCAAGATAAATAATCTTTTGTTTTCTTTTCAGTTGCAAATTTGGCTTCAAACAAGTAAAGTACAATAATAATAATTCAAATTAAATGGTTTCTTTCCACATTTTGAACTTTTGTTGTAATGACAGATTGGAACATTTCTTTTAAAACAGCTCGGGGCTGTCTTGACCTAAGTCCAAATCTTCCTATTTGGTTCGGCTGATGAATGAATTAAGCAGTCTGGAAACACATGAATCAAACCTGGTGRCTTATTATGGTGATTAATAGTAATTTAAAAGGTAACAAAATAATATAGGTTATAAACTTTGCAGGCAGCATTAGAAATAGATCTTTGAAACATTTTAGGTCAGTTTTCAAATGAAATGAAGGTTACCAAAAATCTTCATCAAATCAAAGTGATTTTTACAGTTTACTAGTTACAGTTATACCTGTTGAATAAATAGTATGCAAAGGACCTGAACGAATACGATTGTTTGCYTGCAAATTATTTAAAAATTACAAACATTACAGTTTTCTTGTAAAGTTCAAGACAGTATATGAGGAAAAGTTACTTTAATGTAACCAAGTGTTCAAATATAAAAATCTGCTTGTGATAGAGCCTTGGTTAAATCACAGTAAAGCAGGGCTATTCAACTGGCGGCCAAAGGGGACCAAAATTTGGCCCGCTAATTGGTTCCTTCATCTCTTATAAACAGTATATTAAGCCCAAACTCCCGGTTTTCTAATTTAATTACTCTAAGGTATTTTAGTTATACATATGACATGTTTGATATCTACAGATACGTCAGAATCTTGGCTAGAAGATAAAAACCATTTCTATGGGTCACGGTCTGTCTGTGTGGGTGTTTTATTTTGGTGGCTTTTCTTGTTTTCTGTGCTGTATTTCAGTTTTCCTCAGTCTGTTCGAATGTTATCAGTCCATTAAATGGACGTTATTAGCGGTTGTCAGTCCCAAAGAATGGCTTCAAAGTGTCCTGACAGTGCCCCCTAGTGGGTTAACAGTGCCATATACGTTGGAATGCAACAATGCTACCGCCGGAGTCTGGTCTACTTCATCGAAGATCATGTTATTTTCTCTAAAATTAACCATAGTGGCTTTATGCCTCATATTAACCAGATTGCATAAAAACCTTAATGGTTTCATGCCTCATATTAACCAGATTGCATAAAAAACCTTAATGATTTCATGCCTCATATTAACCATATTGCATAAAAAACCTTAATGGTTTCATGCCTCATATTAACCAGATTGCATAAAAACCTTAATGGTTTCATGCCTCATATTAACCAGATTGCATAAAAACCTTAGTGGTTTTATGCCTCATACTAACCAGATTGCATAAAAACCTTAGTGGTTTTATGCCTCATACTAACCAGCTGACAGTCTGAAGCCATTCTATGGGATGGAGAACCCACTAGGCGGCACAGTCTAACATGTTCTCACTCCCGACTCGTCAAMATATTGACGCTTYGTCAGGCACCGTCTGCGTCCAGTTTTGAGGCATTGGGTACCCCCGCGTGTCAGTTCTTGCCGCCCACGGCTTTTCCGGGTTGCGTTACTTAGGGGTCTTTGGGTTGGGGGTCTGAGGTTAACGTGAGGGATCAGGATTAATGGTTAATTTGACATACTGGGGTCAGGGATACGCTGTATACATACAGTAGGTTAAATTTAGGCTCTGGGACAGTTTGTTCTTGCAAATTATCTATATTTAAAAAAATGGGTAACATGAGGGATCAGGTTTAATGGTTAAGTTTAGGGTCTGGGGTC